ATCATCATGGAGGAAGACTTGTTTGATATAACTATAGTTACAACCCTAACTTTTTATTTCCAAATTTATAGTTCTCTCATTGCGACAGAGATGTTGGTCAATATCATATTTAAATATATTTTTTGATAAGAAACCCATTGGAAAACTATCAAGACAGACTTAATGATTACAATACAAGGTTTTTTCAAAGGAATGGAGCCTCATAAGTATTTCAAATCATCTTCCTTTACTTTAATTCCTTAAAATAAGGGAAAATATTATCGAGATTACTTTAGACCTATAATTCTTACTATTGTAATCTCCAAAATAATCAACAAGATTATGGTTAAAAGAATCCAACCAAATTCAAATAATATTATTAGTCCACATAAAGCAACATTTATCAAGTATAGGAATATCTCTGATAACATCAGTATCTTCAAAAATTATTTCTTGGTATTGATAAAAAGTGTAGGAGAAGCAACATTATTATCAAGATGGATATTAAGAAAACATATGATATGATCAATTGAGATTTCATTTTAAAAATTTTGGTTGTTATGTGTTTCTACATTAAGTTTTGGAAGCTGATTAGGAGAATTTTGAACAATAATTTCTATTCTCTTCTTATCAATGGCTAAACTCATAGTCACTTCAAAGCATTTAGAGGGATCTAGTAGAGCACACTCTATCTCCTACATTTTTCTTGATTATCTTTCCATATGTATGAATAATATTTTAAGTAGAAATATAGGAGTGACTTACAACTACGAAAGAAATTTCTTGGTTTCTTACTTTGCTTTTTTTGATGACCTCATAATTTTCACTAATACCAACAAGACTTCAGCCAAGATATTATGGAAAACTCATTGAACATTTTAAGGAGATCAATGGTATGAATTTCAACATTGCTAATCATATTTTTTATGTGGGAAAGAAATTCAAGTAAAATTGAACCAATGACACGATTGGTTTTTTTAAGAAAAAGCTTCACATCACTTATATAGGCATTTAAATAAATAATGGTAAGAAAAAAGAGTACCTAGTTTGAAGGCAAATTTCAAAAAATTTGATGCAAAATCTAGTCCCAAGAAAACATATTCTTATCCTTTGGATGTAATACAATCCTGATTAAGAGTATCATAAACTCTATTCCTCTTTATATTATGTAGGTGCTTAAGATTTCTGAAGGGGTGGGTTAATAATAGATTGAAAAGGTTGTTGAATAAGTTTCTTTGGGTTGATAAGGAGACAATGCTATACTGGATGAGCTAGAAAAGGCTTACCCTTGTTACGAGGGAGGTTTGGAATTTAGAACACTCAAAGACTCTATTAAAATTAATTATGTATAGTAATGGGGTAAACATATAGTTGGTGATTCATTATAGGATCATGTTAAGAGATCTAAGTACTATGGTGGGGATCATCCCCTTGCAATTGCTGCACAAAATAGGTGACTATGTAGTAAGGAAGAAAATGCTAGATCATAGAGAATCTACTGAAGAATTAATCATCTGAGATAAGGGAAAAGGAAATATCAATTTTTGGTTTGATGATTGGACCCTTTTTAGGACATTTGGAAGGTGCTCGTGATGGACCTTTGGATATTCATCTAAAAGTGGTTGACTGTTGGTTTGAAGATTTTTGGGATCTGAGTAAGCCATAGAATCTAGTTCAAATGGATGTGGCGAAGGAAATTTGTAGCATTCTCATTAAGGGCAGGAATAAAGATAGACCTTTGATGAAGAACCTCATGATGTTTCTATGTTTAAATCTTATTTTTTTCTATCCTTTGGAAGCAGACAAGCTGTGGAATGAAAGAAAAATATTTGGAATTCCAAACTGAAACATTCCCAATCTTTTTTCTTTTGGAGGATGTTTCACCTTTACTCCAAATAGATGACATTCTTAAGCAAAAAATACTCAAACTCCCTTCCTTTTGTTGTTTGCACAAACACGAGGAGGAAAAACTTAACCATATTTTTTGTAGGAACTCTTTGGATGTTTATAGAAGAATTTGTAGTAAACTTAATATCTAGTTCCAATTTTGATATAGAAATCTATTGGGAAATACTTATCTACTTGGATGAACCAGGGACGATCCTCTTTGCATCCGCTAAACTTACTACACTTGATTGTGTGGTGGTTTTTATGGACTATAAGGAACAACATAAAGCATAAAAACTAGGAAGAGACTAGGGACTCTACATATCTACTCATTATCTCCTTACACAAGGTGGAAATGTTTAACAAGATGAAATCAATGTCAATAAATTTATTAAGAGACTATCTTTAAAACTTAAAAATCTATTTGAACCTTATTTTCAAACAACCGCCTTAACTATTTTCTTGGAGAAAAATTGAGAAGGATTTTATAAAAGTAAATGTGGATGGCAAAATATTTAGTGACAAAGTTGGCATTGAAGGGGTGTTTAGAGATGACAAAGGCAAAAGTTTAGTTTTTTTCCTCACCTTCTGTGGTCGGCTTTTCCCTAAAAGCGCTTTTGTTATACTTGTTTTAGCGAAGGTGGCTGGAAGGTTATGTTGGACCGAGTTACACTTTGAATGGCCTCAACTAATCATCTTAATACTTATAGTAGAAGGGAAATTGATCCTTAGTTTTTGCATTTTACTTTGAAGAAGATCTATAAGTTGATACATTCAAAGTAGCTGAGGTGGAGCCATATACATAGAGAATGAAATCAACCTGCAGACTGGCTAGCCTAATGGTGTGCATTCTCTAAAGTAATTTTGTTGGAGAACATTTTCTCTCCTCTATTTTCTATTCTTCTTATTGGGGATAACATTGAGTTGCCTTTTATTAGAACTTTATCTTAACCCTTATTTGTAATTAATGTATTCTTCCTTTTGATTTAATATAAATGAAATATTTTTTTTTGTTACAAAAATATATTAAAATTTATTTCAGAAGGTTAAGTTCCCATTAGCACAAGCAAAAAAAAAAAAAAAATCAAGGTAGATAAAAAATTGATGCAAGGATCCAAAATAATTTTGACAGGAAGATAACATAGTCAAATGAGCCTTCGTAATAAAAAATCTCATCCTGCCTTGAACTGTCTCAAACGACTGGGCTTGGACTAGTTATAGAACACCAAGCACTATCCTTTACATCCCTTTGCTCCCTTTACGGTTCAATAACCAATCTTTTCAAGTCAATGGCCTCTTAACCAAAGTCGCTCAATTGCTATGTTGGCACAACCTCATTTGTAGCAGAGGCAGTAATGAAAGGATACAACAATGATTTCATAGTCCTTTCAGGAGGTGAGAGAATATTTGCCACTTCACGCTCCCCCTCAGCTTTCTTCTCTACCCTACGACACCTCCATCTACCACAATCTTAAGATCCTATTCAAAAATTGGCTGGCCAACTCCATCAATTATCTGCTCATTTCTTCCTATTAAAGTATCTGATGCCACATTCAAGTTTAATTGAAAAGCATTCTTTGTGTAAAGATCGAGGATGTAAAATTCATTAAAAATAAAGCACTCTATAGAAAAAAATGTAGTAGAAACAAAATATGTCATATCTTGATGTGCATAAAGTAAAAAGATTGTTTACATACAGGTCAATTTATATGGACCTAAAACTCTTGAAAGTGTAGGTGTCTTTTCTTGTCTACTCTCATCACCAAGGGTGAATGCCTCCACGAGTGCCTGAACCTTCGCCCAAATGGGCAGATTCTTAGCTGGATCACCTATCGATGAATCAACGTCTGGAATAACCACCTCTACAATAGCTTTTACTCGAGTCATCCTTGACGTCTCCCCCTGCCCAAAAGAGGAACTTCTCTTTCTTCACTTCACCAGCGCATTGTGCCCTCTCTCACCTCTTTCTCAATTTTGCTTGGTGAAATGCCTTACATCAACTCTTCATCCAAAATATTAAGTCCACTAATTTAGCTCTGCCATGGTATGATGAGCTGGGAGCGACCAAATATAATATACAAAGGCGAGGGATTGTAATACAAATGTGTTAGACTGACGTCTCATTGCTCTATTTATAAGAGTTAGGACACATAATTTAAGGGAGAGTCCACGTAATAAAATCTAACCCAACAGTACAGTAATTATCTGTATTTTATTCTCTGTTCTTATCACAATATAATTTTCTAAGTGGTGAGTAAATTAGAGAATTATATATGTATAACCAAAAGCAACTGCACAAACCAACATAATCCCAAGTTCACTTAAGTTGGCATCTATATCAATCCAGACTTGTTGAGGAAACGAACCCAAACGAAGAAAGGGAGGTCATCCTAGATCATCAGACACTTAGATAAGGAACAACTAAGTATGAAAAGTTGAGTATGGAGGGCTGAGTATGGATGATGCATGCGAATAACTAAATTTTCAAACAGACAATGTAATGTGATATTGAAGGCGAGACCACAAAAATCAAAGAATCTCATTCGTCAGCCAAATAACTAGCTGATTTTAAAGATGAGATTGTCAAGAAGTTCTCGATTTTAATGATGATGTCACTCTAGAGACAACTATATGTCCCTAGAATTTCAAATATAATGATGGCTTACACCTACAAGAAGTCATCCCTTAATAAAAAATGAGAATTTAGAATAAATTGGATTTCGTAATTTTTTAACTCAAAGCTCTAATTTTGAGAAACTTATTACGTTCAGATGAGCTGCATCCGGATGGGTCTGGATTTATAGTATTTTGTGGTAGTATTGAAGGTATTACAACATAAACACCACCAAAACTACCAAATCATGCCTATAGGGAGAAGTAATAATCACTCCTAATTGTAGGGATCTTGTTCATATTTGTAATAACTAGGAATCCTAAGCTCGCTTTCGAGCACTCTTCTCTTTCTTCTTCTTCATGCTCTATTTCTTATATAAAAGTGATTCTAACACCCATATTTCACAAATCTCACTTTTGTTCGTCCAACAAGCTGATTTTTTTTTTCCTCCTAAACTGAAGTATGGAAAGGGTTGTAGCCGGCTCGGGACGGCGTAAGCTGTTCATTAATCTCTTTTTTTTTTTTTTTTTTTTTGACTAGTTCTTCAATGTCGCTCCTTTTAAGAAGTATCCAGACGGGACCACTTCTCCTTGTTTCTTCCCCGGCCGGCGAAATGACCTGTTGGCCCAATGCCGGAGCGGCGAAACGAAAAATCCGGCTCTCAATGGCGGAGACGCCGCCCGACCCGCTGCGCCACCCCATTGATAGAGCCCTAAGCCTCACCTACGAATCATCGCACTCCGATTTGCAACCTAAGCACACGGACTTACTGATTCGCGGTTTGTCCGCCCCAATTATACCTCAGCCGCACTCTATCCGTCGCCCATACCGTTTCTTGTCGCTGAACCCTTTCATCTCTTTCATCTCCACTCCATTTATGGCGGTGTTCAAGGGGAGATGTAAGCTAGCGGCGGAGATTCCTAGAGGACGGCAGATAGAGGAATCGAGAAAAGAGTCGCAGTTGTTAGAGACAATGAACAAGGTCGACAGTGGGGGAACGGTGAAGAAAACGTATTCGGTGTCGCCGGCTGATTACCGGTTGCTCGAGGCGGTGGGGCAGGGGGCGAGCGCGACGGTGTACCGCGCGATGTACATACCGTACAATGAGATTGTCGCTGTAAAGTGCTTGGATCTCGATCGTTGCAACAGTAATCTCGTCCGTTCCTCTCTGTACGCTTCGCTTTGTTTTTTTTACTTTACTGTATTTCTTTTTGGATTTTTATACCCCTTTTGACTTTCGTGGTTGGTTGGAGTTGATTTCTATCGATAGTTTATGGTTTTGGGTTTGGATTTCAGTGGCTGTGATTTGGATTGGTGCCCTGAGGAGTAGTATCGAAGTGGTGTGGCTTCTTTTTGTTTTGTGCGAGGACTTAACGCAGTTATTGACGTGTTTGTCGCGTAGAGCAGCTCTGAGTACCGTTGATCCAAATGCATCATTGGGCAACACTAGAACTTTATAAATATGAACCGAGCTGAAAGAGATAAAGGAAAAAAAAAATACTTGAGAGAGAGAGAAGCCCTTAGTTTACATATATTTTTAGAAAATACAAAAGTGAGATGCACTTCTTAGGCGATGTTTGGTGGCATACTATTAATTGGATTTAGCCACCAAACACAAAAAAATAAAAATTAAATCAAACAGTACGGTAAATTGAATTTTCTCATGTTCCATCTTTTTTCATGCGTTTCGTCATTTTTACGACGTAAATTAGGATTTAGTAGATCTGATTGCAGGGCGGATTTATTCCGTGGTCGCTCGCGAGCTCTTCCGTCACACACTGAATGTGATAAATCTGGATTCATCAAATTTGATAAATATTATTTAATATAAATCTGAGATGCATAGTTTTCTAGACCCATAATGTCACCCCTATTTGTTAGTGTGGGCTAAGGAATAGTGGTCGAATATAATCCACATATGCAAAAAACTAGGTAATTGAATTAAATAAACATTTACATTTGGCGGGTCTGATTCTTTATAAGCAAGCAAACATAGTTATATTATTGTTAGCATGTTGCCATCATACAAAAGCTGACATGATGACAACTCTAAGTGTATTCTTGTCTATAGCACTTGCTTGTTGGTTCCAACATTTGTGCCTGTTCCTCCACAAATAAATGATAAGAATACCACATATTTATGGTTTCCACAAATAGAAGTAAAATTTTAACCTCAATCAAATTAGTATTTTTCATTACAAGCTGGTTGGTTGACAACTCAGACATACAAATCACTAAAACATTTTGCACTGTGATTATATAAATCATTCAGGGACTTTAACAATGTGATTATATAAATCATTCAGGGACTTTAACAATGAAAATCCATTTAAAAGATAAATTTCATAAGTACTTTGCTTATGGGGTTAGTGTCATAAATCTTAACCATTTAGCCTTCTTCAAATCTTTTGGTTGTAAGCCTTATCCTCCAATACATTGCATGCCACAATATATATATATATATATATATATAGCCAATATATATATATATATATATACATATATTGTTGTGAAAATGACTACAATAAAACAAAAATTGGAATTAGAAAATTTGCAAAACAGAAAAGAACAGAACACACAGATTCACGTGGTTCAACAAATTGCTTATGTCCACGGGGTTGCAAAAGATTTTATTGCTCCAAAAGATTACACCCGTTGATCACCTTGATGTTTGCAGAAAAAATCTATATTTCTCTTCCTCTCTTTCCTTGCATCTTTCTCTCTCCTTTGTCTCTCTATCTTTCCACCTGTATCACAGGATAGTAGGAAGAAAGGGGAAAAGAAACTTGCGTTTCCTTTTCTCTGTCCCGTAAGCCAAAGAACCGAGAAGACCTGCTCTTTTTGCTTCTGCTGACGATGAGTGAGGTTGGAGTTGGCAGACTTTTGCTTGGCCTTTTATAAGAAGCTTAAAATGCTAATGAAGGAAATTCCTTTTGCTTCTACCGAAGGTGAGTGAGGTTAGAGTTGGCGGGCTTTTGCTTGGCCTTTTATAAGAAGCTTAAAATACTAATGAAGGAAATTCTTTTGGCTAAATGCGTTTCGGGTGAGATAAAGTGGCAGGACCCCGTGAGATTAATTTGGCGGGACTGCGTAACTTTTAGAGCCTTGCTGCTTCAATTCCTTTTAAAACCATCCATGAATTGGCCCATCAAAGAAAAGAGAATATCAAGGTGGCAGGAGAACCAACAGGAGGTGGGAGAATAATATTAACAAGGAACTAAATAATTGAATTGAATGCAAATTCAATTATATTCCTAGTATGCAAAACTATTTGACTTTGAGAAGATATATCTAGTTGATGGAGAAGCTCTGGACGTAGTGGGGATGAGAGACGTTGATATTGCACTCCCTAACAAGAGCAAATGAACTTTACAGAAGGTCAGACACATTTCTGAGTTGAAGAAAAACTCCATTTATGCTTTGTAGATTTCTAGATTATATTCATAACACAATTCACTAGAGCTACAAAACATCAAAGAAGTTTGGAAGCGCGGAGCCTGGGGAAAGCTTGTGTGCTTTTGTGATATATTTTCAGAGGGAGATGCTAAAGGTATAAGATTTGGAGCTTGTACTCAACCATGCCATCTTAGCGCAATGGCTAAAGGAAGGACCATTTCAGTATGCAGTTGGCATACAACACTTGAAGTCATTAGTCAAATTGTTAGAACTGACTAACAATAACATATTAGTTCAAGAGTATAACTCAATATCTGTCTTCTCGCTAATCGAACACCCAGAAAGACATCCCCCGAAAAGGAATTTTCATAGGCTGATTAGAGAATGCATCACCCCCGCAACCATTAACATGACCGAGATTTGAGGTGCAACGATTTTGCCTGTTTTAGATGTTTTGGGTCTAAGTGAGATGAGTCCGTTCATGGAAAGGGTGAATCCAATATCAAGAATGACGAGTAGATTACTGCTAGGAATGGTCTTCACACAACTTATCAAACACCACGACAGACTTCCTTAAGAGTCTCGATGACCAAAGTGATATAAACCATCCAGAACAAGGAGTATTTTCATAAGTTTATGCTCACGAAGTCAGGAGGGTACATATGTGATCCAAAAAAAATATTGCACTTATCACTTAGATCAGAAACAAGAAACAGAGGAGTGTTGTCACTTTTGAAGCCTAATCGAAGAGCTAATCAAAACAGACAAACTAATATATTTCATAGCACCGGGAGCAATAACTCAGAGGCAGAGAAAGCTTTAGTCGAAAAAATCACAACACAACTGCCTGGGCCCAGACAATCCACATTGCCGGTGTTGTCCCAGTGATACTTGGTGGGGATGGAGTTGAAGCATCTCACTATGCTATCTTGAACAGGCTCCATTCATGAAGACTATGTCTGTCAATATTGTCTCAGGAACAACCTTGCATCAACCACCAATCATCTTCATAGAGGAGTATCTGCCTGTCAAGGAAAACCCTTAAAATGACATAATTATGGTTAAAAACTAGATTGCTAACAAACAAATTGACGTCATTCTCATGGACATAAGGAGTTCGTGTAATATTACTCTCCTAATTTAAAATTATAACTAAAATAAAAAAAAATTAATTATTTATTATGACACATATGAAACAGGTGTCGTTTTGCAGACACCGTTTGAAAGAGAAGCCATCGCTATGGATAGAGTCAAATTTGCGACTGTTCTCTCATTTCTGCTCACACATTCGAAATCACGTGAGAGATATAAAGTGAGGGAGGTAGAGGAAGAAGAAGCAAATTAGAGGAATAAGAAACAACATAGAAGGAAGAGTGATCGTTTACTTTAACCAAGCCAGAGAGGAAGGAAGGAGGGCTCGAGCATCACACACGAAGGAATTTACGTGAAAGGAGACACTCGACCAAGCTTTTGCAAGCTTTGTGAAGCTGTAGTCGACAGGTAAGAGCCTTCCTTACACATCCCTTTATTGTAAAAAATAAAAAAAATTAGGATTTCAGCTTCCTCTACCCAAACTGATCGGAAGGAGTAGGGGTAGGATCACGCCTCGTTGTTTGTGAGAGCCAAACCTAGTTCTTGTGTTCTACACGAGCAAATCGCGAATAGGAGAAGGGAGCTGAGTGCTTGCTTCAAGCTCGAGTCGAGAGCTTGGGGAGAAGGGTTTGCAGCTGCTTCTGTATGCGGCAGAACTCGACCGAGCTTGGTTGGATTTGATTGTTTTAGGGAAGACTTTAATATTGTTATTAAAAATAATTGAAGTTAAATTCAAAAAATAAAAAAAAAAATAATTTAATTATGTTCAAATTTATTTAGGGTAATTGGTGAGCAGGTTGAAATTCGAAGATGGGTAGAACTTCACGTATGAAACTCGGTTTCAATAATTAATTATTATTTTTCTCAATTAATTAATGTTAAAATGAAATTAAGAACTCTAAATTTAAAACTTATTTATAATTAAGTTGCTATTAATGTTAGGTATGCCCAAATGAAAAAAAAGCATTTACATAAAATTGATTTAATTATTGTTATATGCAGTAATATTAATGAAACATTGTTATAATCAATAAATTGAAAATTTCATAGGGATAAAGGTAATTTGAATACTCCTATGAAATTTTTAAATGAATATATTTTTAAATAATAATTGTAAAGTTATAATTAAAATGAATGAACATAAAACTAGTAGAAATTAAATTGTTCTTATAGGTGAGTGAGCCAAAATATTAGATTTGGACCGAGGAAAATGACAAATTGAGTGCATTGTAGAGTTGGTAATATTTTTATTTTATGATAGTTCTATTATTTACACATGCTTTTACTGTTTTCCAGTGTTTCTTTTAAAATGCAAAATTAATTTTTCTCTTTTAAATGTTAAATGCAAGAAAATGAATAAAATATGATATATGCATGCATGTGAGAGTCAACCCAGGATGGTAGTGACAGAGGAATGCAATGTACCATGCATGAAAGCGACAATAAAAATAAAAATAATTGTCTGTCTATATGGTAGATTGGAATATGTTAAAAATACATATTCAGAAAGTATAAGTTTAGATGGTGACTCTAAAAAATTAAAATTGTAATAAAATAATTGAAAGTAAATGATTGATTTTTTTTACTGCACAACCTTTTATTTTTCACTGTATTTTTAAAACTATTTTAAAAAGAGAATTATTGTAATTTAGAAACATTTGGCCACTGATTAGTTTTAACTC